CGCAGGCTTCGAGCATGTTGGCGACGGTACAACGTTCAGTGTTGGCCCGATTCCAGAGAACATGTGTACAATGCCCGTTCCTTGGGATTTGAGCCGAAAGCACATGACCTCCCTTGTTTCTGCTGGCATATGATGCCTCAACTGCTGGTCAGGTTGACCTTGGTACATGTCTTGGTGTGTCATCACAAAGCATATTTAATTCTGCCCCCTTCTGGCGGTACCTCCGGTGTCATTGCCTGTATGACCTGGAGGGACCAGCTTCTTTACACGTCGTTCCCATGCTGTTATGTCTTTCTCTGTTTCACTTCTGTTTTATGATGGTGTTCTTTACGCATTACGAGACGTGCAGATGGTGCAGGGTGAGGGCACATTCTACGAGTTATGAGTACGAATGCTTCTTGCATGGTGCATGGCGCATGGAGGTAAAAAAAGGTCGACGGTCGCATCCATCTCTTTCGTGCTGCCTCTGTATGGCGCTCTCTGACTTATGCGCCCCAGCATCTGTCCTTGCGAGCTTGGCAGCAACGGCAAATCATGGTTGTATGAGTAATGGGTCACGGCCATGGAAAGCCTTGGAGGCTTTGGATCCGCAGGATCGAGGACGCACACAAGGAAAATGCAACATCTGCTAGGACGTAGGATCCTATAGGGTTGCGTAGCCACTGTAAGGCACGGTTACGAAGGGACGGGAGATGTACGGCGCACGAGCAAGCTAATGACGGCGGCCCCTTGTCTATTGTATGATTATGTAGTGCCTTAAAAGCGTGTGATAGTTGTCGAATGCAGGCGGCCCTTTTTCGTTTATCATGGTTCGTAGCATTTCCGAAAGTGATGTTTGGCGGGTCTCGACGCCATGGCTCGACGCGACTTTTGGCGTACATGTTGGTTACGTGGGCGTTGCCCGGGCCAAGACGAGCGACCAGCATCGCAGAATATCTGAGAAGGTGCTCGCACATGCAAAGAAGAGTAAAGAAGATCAGACGTGAGGTTCTTGTAAGCTCTTGCCGTCGGACGTGCTCCCGTGTTCCCCGCGGCTCAGGCGTCCCTTCTTGACTCAGGGTCCGGCGGCCAAAACTTTGGTTGATGCTGAACGGTGTCACGTCATCGCTTCACCCACGCGACACCCTGAAGCGTCCTGACCCCGACGCGGCTCGCATACACGCTCCATCCAGCATCCGACAGCATTGCGCATCCGGCGCTCTGTCGACAGCACACACCGGTCCCCATGGCGTGGTACGATCAGGACAGCTGGCTCACGGCAGCCTTCTCCCCAAACCTGTCGACTATCCTCATCACCTTCCTCGTCGCGCTCTGCCTGCCCATACTACTGCATACCGTCCTCTACAAGAAGGCAGCTGCAGCCGCGCAACTTCCCACCTTCCTGCTAGCCGGCCCAAGCGGCAGTGGAAAGACGGCCTTTACGACATTGGTAGCGTATCCCCCAAACCCATGCTCCCGTACCGTCTAACAATTGCCAGGCCGAGCGCAACGCTACAACCCAAACGCACACGTCCACCACACCTCTCACCGTCTCCGCTCTCCTCCCCAGCCCACACGTCCCCGCGTCATCGCACTACCGCTCACCAGGCGATCCAGCCTTCGAGCGCTCTCGCAATTTCCTCCTCCTCGACACGCCTGGCCATGGCAAGCTCCGTCACTATGCGACCTCCCAGCTTGCCGACCCCAAGAACATCCGCGGTATAATATTCGTCGTCGACGCCGCTCAACTAGGCGACGAAGCAGGACTGAACGAGGCCGGAGAGTACCTTCACGACATCCTCCTCTCGCTACAGAAACGCTACACCAACGCTACCACAAGCAAAGGGCCAAAGGAGATCCCTGTCCTTGTTGCGGCGAACAAGATGGATCTTTTCACGGCGTTGCCCGCAAACCTTGTCAAGAACTCGCTCGAGAAGACAATCACCGAGGTCAGGAGTAACAGGGCGAAGGCGCTTCGCGATGCAGGTGCGGCGTTGAATGGTGGCGAAGATGAGGTAGACGAGGAGAAGGAGTGGCTGGGTGAGGGCGGCGAGGGCATGTTCACATTTGAGCAAATGAGAGAGAGCGGGACGAGTGTGACTGTGATTGGGGGTAATGTTCAGGCGGGTAAGGAGGGCGCTGATGTGGAGCAATGGTGGCAGTGGGTTGCTGAGCAGCTTTGAAGAAGCTACAGGTGGCCACAGAGGGTAGGATGGATCGAGGCTCGAGTGTGTACCGATACATCGATACCCCCTTCGTTGAATAATGGAACTAGTAGGTCCATTCTACCTTGATCTAGGTCATGACTAACGCGTGTAGATTATCAAGTTTGCTGTTGCACTTTTGAAATCGTGAGGCTTTTGCGGCCTGACTGCCTCTTCCTTCGAGACCGAGGTGATCTTACGTCTGTTACAGCCGCCAAGCGCATCGAAGTACGAGGATGATACCCTTAACACCTGACAATGCACGTTTTAGAACAGTTGCTCTTCTACGTCTCGTGCAGAGCAAACACCACCCAGTATTTGTTGTTTCACTTGTTATTCGATGTGTCCGTATGTCGTTACGCGATTGTTCCGAGGCAAGCTCACGAGTAAACCGAGTAACTGGTATCATGACCAGTCGCCATGACCTCCCAAGGTTGAGCAAGCAGCGCGTGAGCTTGCTCATCGTGGCCAAATGACTGGAGGCAAGCGCGGAAATCGAAAACAGGATGTTGTATAAGAAGGTGAGTGGTTTAACCCCATAGTACTCACCATCGCACCGGCGTCTCATCCTTTCATCGATACTTCACCAATCCGGACTCAAGACAGCAATACGAACAATGGCGAACAAGTCAAAGGCCGCGAAGAGAGCACGAAAGGTCGAGTCGGAAGCCGAAGCATGGAAGGCATCCTCCAAGACCGTACTTGGTCGCCTGACCTATCGTCTCGAAGATCTTCCCGACATTCTGATCCTTCGTGTAGCATTCAAGTCCATGAACGCTTCCGGTGAATACGACGATACTGTGTACAACCGCAAGTTCCGGGAGCCCGCGTGGGCTGAACTTCGCGAGACATATTGGCCCCATTTCAAAGACATCACTGCTGTCGACAAAAACCCAGATAGAAAGTCTCACGAATGGCATCTCATCATGCCAAATAATTCAAATAAGGATGAGTTCGCGATGTCCACCTTACTGGGTCAATTCGCTCTCAAAACCAAACTTCCCGGACACGTCAAAACCGGCCTACCTGAGCGAAAAATGGCATGCAGGATTACGAGTACGGATGTATTAACAAGTACAGATCCAAAATATCGTAGACTCTATCAGAGGAGTCTCAACATTCTAATCCAACGGCGCTATGCCTCAGTGGACGGATTCCCCGATAATCTTTGGGCTACCAAGGAACAGTTCCGAAAGATTCCCGAGGGCATCAATCTCTTTCAAGGGGAGAAATCAATCCAGCTGAAGGAGGAAAAGTCAAACATGCCGAAAGGAGATGTGTCAATCACGCCGTTAGTGAAAGGCTACAAGGCTCATACAATCAACGGTACCCAGACGCCTTCTCCCTACTCACTTCGCGTACGCGCCGCCTTATCGACTGATCTCAAAGACAAACTGATACATTTGGTGTTCGATTTGACGTCTACCACGCCGGAAGCCTACAACAGTGTCTATGAAATGTTGTTGGATGTTTTCGGGGATGGCATGAACAAAGAAAACATCAGCCGCCTGCAACCCGCTATCAGCGACTTGCTGGTTGGAGTCAAAGTTCAGCGCAACTACCCCTCTACCAGATCAGAGACTACAGCAGACGTCATCAAAACATGGGATGAGCCGTTCTTGATTCGCGAGGTCGTATCCAACCAGGATACCGAAGTCAGGGCCAAGACAAAGAGCAAGAGGAATGATGAAGATGAGAAAGAGGTTCAGACTAGTTACGAATACTTCAAGGAGAGTGAGTTGCGCTTGGTGGTATTGACGACGGTGCACAGTAACTGACGCAAACACAGACTACAACGACGGCAACGCTATGGAGCACCAGTATCTTCCACTCGTAGGTGACGGTCGCGGCGCTTATTTCCCCTTGACCCACGTCAAATTTCCCAAGAAGACCCAGGTTTTTCCAAAGACTGCTAGCGTTCTAGCCCAACCGCTTCGGGCAAAGATTCATGAGCTCGGTCTCCTCAAGTCCGAAGGCTCAGAGCTCGTGAAACTAACCGGCGATAACGTATGGACACTGTTGACTGAGCGGCGAAGATATGCTGAGGCAAGTACATTTTCCCCGCTCCGAGACCTTTGCTTACACGTCGACAGGGCGGAATCGATACCGAACCGTTCGAACTGCTCAAGCAAGTCGGGGCGCCTTCGATCGAAATGATTGACCCCTTGGACCTTGCACTCTAATTCACCCACTCCGATCAGACGACAGATGCTTCCAATCTTGATGCGAAACGAAAATGCTTTTACCGCATTCCAGTTCTACAGTGGCATGCATTTCATCCGTCGCTTTCCAGCACTTTCCTTCTCTTCGCTTCTGCAAGCTGTGCCGCCAAATCCGGCTGTCGCATCTTGGTATTAGCTCTTCTTTGGATTTCCCTTATCTCCTTTTCCAACCACCTTTGCTTACTTAGTTTCCGCCCGTACCCGCGTCTGCCTCTGAGTCGATGTTTTCACTTTGTGACATATGGAAAACTCACTGCGCATGCGCTCGTGCTGCGTCCAATCCTTGTCTCCTGTATTTGGTCTTGCGTTCCGCGCTGCTTTTCTAGATAGTCCAACTCAATACACTCATTTGCAAAACACCGCTTCTATATCGCCCTTGAGAATTGTCACCAAGTCTGGTTGCTGGATGAGAGGCTTCTGCACGGAAAACAGGTTGGTGCATTCTATGTCTGCGAGGTCGAACTCAGTTTCATGGTTGCACCAGGAACGAAGAGATCGCAGTCTGGAGGCATATGGATGGTAAGTTTACCCATTTCTTGTTAGAAACAGTGTTGTCATATCACATACCTCAGTCCTAAGCACCGTGACGTCTCAATCAGGCGGTCTTGTCCATGTGATCTGCTGCTTGTCTGCATGCCGTTTTGATCCCATCGCCCAGAATGGTATCATTTGAGGCAAAGTACCGTAGTCTATTCTGCCAGAACCGCCATCTTTCCACCGTAATCTTCTCTTCGCCACCCTGGGCCTTCCACAAAGGACCGACTGGCGCTACAAAGTCCATCAGACGGTCGTAAAGATCGTGACCTAGGATTGAAAGCCATTGTGTAGCCGCTGGAAGGTCTATGCTAGGCTGCGATGACCTGAAAGCCGCCCAGTTTTGATCAGGTATGGTAGCAGAGCCATCGGAGTGCTGCGTCACTTCATTGAGGCTGAGTTCGTGTTCTAGGGCACCAACGATTGGATAGCATGCCATGCCACGAAAGTCCACATTATCTTGTGGCAGCGCACCTCGAATGTGGTAACAGCTAAGAAGCGCGGCGAACGTGTTGATGTTCTTGTAAAGATCTCTGACAGCTAGGACGACATCACCACTGACAATGCGTTCCGTCATTGATTCAGCCGTCCTCAAGGTCGCGTCTTTGCGAGCTTCGGGGTTCATGAACTGCAAACTATAGCACTTTGGACCTGGACCGAGGACTGTCAGCTTCTGAGCATTTTCAGCACGGTGGTTGTTCATGTCCATACCCTGCAAATAACCCACGAGCTCTTGACCGAAGCCAGGTAAGTCCACAAAGCTACTGGTGCCCTGAACCGGCTCGTCTGTATCGTACGGATACTCTGGTAAAGGGTGTGACAATCTCGCAAGCTCCACCACCAAGTCGGCCAATATCCTCAGTTCTGCTTCCGGCCATGTCTCGCCACGATGGCATATGGCGCCCCAGAGTATGCTCGCATCATGGGGTGTTGACGAGGAGCAATGAGCTGAAGTCAGTGAACCAAGGATATCAGCTGCTGCTCTGGGATTGATTCGGTGAGTGAGAAGATCTTGGAAAGTACATAGTATGCGTCCTTCTGTGGATGATGGATCTACGTCGCAGATAGCCTCCTCATCGGCGCGGGATAGACTTGGAAATAAAGGATCAACAGAAGCTCGGTTCAGACCTGGTCGAGTAGAGCTGAGAATGGCAGAGAGCTGTTCGTGGTTCCATCTTGCAGCCATGGATCGAATTAAGTTAATGTCAGAATATCACCAAAATGAACAGGCATAGAAGTGATGCGTGCTTGAGGTTCAGTTGCCACCATGTCGACGGTTAGTAGGCTACCGAGATGCTGATTCATAGCTGTTATGCATACCCACCACGTGCCTAGGCAGCTGACAGTGGCGGCGGCGGCGGCGGCGTGAAAGTGGCGATTGAGCGTATCCGGCTAGCGTTGTGAGGATCTACTAGCGGTGGCTTGAGCGCGGCCGCGGCTATTTGCGGGTCAGGCTATCGAGTTTGTTCTGCGCGACAACTTTGCATCTGTATTACGACATCTTCTTCGCCTTTGACGTGCGGGTACTCTCTTTACTTATACTTCCAGAAACTCTCACTATACATACTCCAGCATCACATACACGCCTCAGCACACGAATACCGCCACCATGTCTACCAAGACGCGCCCCGCCATCCCACCTGTGGTTATGGACAGCATAACGCAGCAGATTGGCAACACGCCCCTCGTACGCCTGAACAAGATTCCGCAATCCCTGGGCATACGTGCCACCGTATACGTAAAGGTCGAAGCCTTCAACGCCGGCGGCAGTGTCAAGGACCGCATCGCGCTTCGCATGATCGAAGCCGCCGAGAAGTCTGGTCGCATAAAGCCTGGTGACACACTCATCGAGCCTACGTCTGGTAACACGGGTATTGGGCTGGCTTTGGTGGGTGCGGTAAAGGGATACAGAACCATCATCACACTTCCCGAGAAGATGAGTCCCGAGAAGGTGGCGGTTCTTAAGGCGCTTGGAGCCGAGATCATTCGTACCCCGACGAGTGCGGCATGGGATAGCCCCGAGAGCCACATCGGCGTCGCGAGGAGATTAGTCAAGGAGATTCCGAACGCGCACATTCTCGACCAGTACTCGAACCCCGACAACCCGCTCGCGCACGAGTGCGGCACGGCCGAGGAGGTGTGGACACAGACCGACGGCAAGATCACCTGTCTTGTTGCTGGTGCAGGAACTGGAGGCACTATCACAGGTCTAGCGCGCGGTCTGAGGAAACACAAGCAGGATGTCAAGATTGTCGCTGCCGACCCACACGGCAGTATACTCGCACTCCCTGCGACCCTGAACGACGAACGCGTGAACGAGGGCTACAAGGTTGAGGGAATCGGATACGACTTCATCCCTGACGTCCTGGAGCAGAAGATTGTGGACAAGTGGTACAAGACAGACGACCGGACATCGTTCTTGTACGCGCGCCGGTTGATCTCCGAAGAGGGCATTCTTTGCGGTGGTTCGTCTGGTAGTGCGATGGCTGCCATGGTCGAAGCCGCGAAAGACATGGATCTCACCGAAGATGATGTTGTCGTCGTCATCCTCCCCGACAGCATTAGAAGCTATCTCAGCAAGGTATGTCATCTCTTTTCCTATGCTACTGTTGTGTCATACTAACGTATCATAGTTCGTCGACGACGACTGGCTTGCCGCAAACGACCTTCTCCCCCCTACGCCCCCTCTGACACCTAACACGAATGGCGCAAACACTCGCCGTCTCTCTACCACCAAGCAGGCCGACGCTTTCCACGGCGCCACCATCGCTTCCCTACGACTCAAACCCGTTACCACCGTTCCCTCGAACTCGCCCTGCAGCGAAGCCATCGAAACAATGCGTGAAAAAGGTTTCGACCAACTTCCCGTTAGCACATACTCTTCCGGCGGCAAGGCGCGTCTTGTCGGTCTAGTGACCCTCGGCAACTTGCTATCCTACATCGCTGCCGGTCGTGCAACCCCAAAGTCACCCGTCGAAGAGGTCATGTTCGATTTTCGCAAACTGAACGAGGTCGTCAAGGACCTCGGCCGTCTTTCGCTTGACGGCGACAACGCGAAGAACACACAGAAGGGCGGCAAGAAGGGACGAAAGGAGTTTGTTGAGATCACCAAGGAGACCAGCTTGAGCGATCTGAACAAGTTCTTCGAGTGGAACAGCGCGGCTGTTGTCACCGAGCGCGTCGATGGCGAGCCAAAGGCTGTTGCTGTTGTCACAAAAGTAGACTTGCTATCCTGGATGGTCAGACAGGGAAACACTAATGGGCATTCGAACTAAATGGAGTAAAGACGATGGAAACAAGATGTATATGAGGAAACGGTTAAACACGAGGCACGCATATCAAACCTTTAGCGAAAAAAAAGTTGGCGATATTCATATTGGACCGGTAGCAACGGAGTTATAGGCATGGTACAACTCAACTTAGATGGCATTCGTCTGGTACGTCAGGATAGAAGTGCGAGACCTCAACGTCTATAAACAACAGCTATGAAAGGCTGCAAAGTCAAACTCTTCTCGTTCAGCATGAAGCCTACGCTATCCCCATCATAATCTCCCTCAGCTTGCCCGCCGCCGCACCATCCAAAAACTCCATACTCTTCTTGATGCCCACTTTCCCGCTACCCATTTCCTCCATCTCCATCATCCACAGCAAATCATTCTCCACTATCTGCCCCTCCGTCGCCCCTTTCGCCTGCATCATGAAGCTGATCCGCAGGACGACCTTCATCTTGATCGGGTCGACAATGACGTCTGTGACATTGGATTTCCAGGATTCAAGTCTAGGAAGCATGGATCGTAGATGGGAGAAGAAGCCGTCGAGAGAATGTGTGCCTTGGAGAGGCGGGGTGAGAGAGACGGAGTAATTATGGCCCCACGAGTGTTCGAAAGAAGGGGCGCAGTAGGTACGCATGAGATCGAAGTCCATGCGTTCTGGAGAATTCGTGTCGAGTGTTTGGGCTCTGATGAAATTGAGCGCTGTGTCTCGGAGGATTGTATAGGTGGGCAAGGCAGATGTCGCCGGATCTTCTGGGGTGTGGTTGCTCATGGTGATGTTGCTGGTTTGTTTTCAAGAGATGAAGATGTGCAATTGGAACTCTTGAAATGGAAGAAAGATACGACTGTGGTTTGCTTCATTAAATGCGGAGAATTACCAGTGCTACCTAGTACATGCGGATCCCCACGGTACGCCACGGAATAGGGTTCGATTGTCCCGAAAAACGGGAACGGCGCAAACTGTAAGTTTATACTACTGTTTGAGGTTGGCGCATATGCTGAAGACATGGGGCACGCTTGTTTTGTCTTCAAGAAAGTTGGTCGTGAAGAGAGCAAGGTACTATTGCGGGTGCTCCCGTTGCTCCACTATGTCCGTCCAATCAGCTGAACGACGACCGTGACGTCGAAGTAACGGTTGGAGACAACGAATGTTCACGACCTCGCTGGTAAAGTATCGCGCAACTGTGGAACTATCGAATTGAATGTAGAAGTGGTGCGGTAGTGGGAAGGTCGTGTCGCTGAGCGATCAGACGCACGAATTACTTTCTGTTGAGAATGTTTGCGTGTTGGCCGTGTTCGCTATCAAAAACCGAAAGTGCCAAGAAGACATGAGATGGATGGATCTAAGGTGAAATGCGATAGGCCAAAGAGCTGGTGAGTGGGAAGAACTGAGCGGCTGACTTACTTACAACGTCAAACGCCATAGCCAATGTCTGTCTATCGGGGCAGAGGGCCATGTCACCTGTTGCTTCTCAAAGCCGCCCAAGACTTGTAATATCATCGTTGCATGCTTGGAGTTCGTGTGATCTGGCTCTAAAAACCCACTGGATCGCGTTCGATGAGGTTCCGCTTCACACTGGGATTCCATCGCTCCGGCTACCTTCTGATAACGACAGACCCACTGACTACGGCTCTGTAGTAGCAATGGCCTGACACAAGAGCCTAGCTCAATCGGAACACTTGTTATCCCGGGTGTAAGGCGGCATAAGTACGAACACGCTCGTTGTATTCGCAGCCTAGAGACTATTCGGCCGACATTTCTTGTCACTTCTGCCCTGATCGGCTGTCCGTTGCACATAGAGCCATTCGATATGCATACTGAAGTCGAAATGTGCTCGTGTCTGAAGGATGAAGACAAAGGCAGTCCTCAGTACTACAGGTATATAGCCGGCAGTTCTTTCGAGATGGAAGAGGAGAAGGATTGGCGATTGCGGTCGAAGAATCATCCATCGAAGCAGTATTGGGGTGTAGAGGAACTCTGAAGTATCTGAACTGATTGTGTACGTGGTCTCGAATCGAACGCGATGAGGGTGAAGTAGGTTCAACCGAAATTAGGCCTATCGATGCCAGCGAGTGTAGCAATTGTGGAGGGACGGTCGGTATTCATGCGCGCTTCGAATAAGTAGTCGGTCCTAGGCTGTTAGCTTATTGCACGATACAGCCGCTGCGACGTGGTGCAGGGAAACGCAATCAGTGGACTGTTGCAATCTTTCCACATTGCTGTAAAAGGAGGATTGACGCATGGCGGAACTGTCGGAAGCCTCGATCTGAAGGACGATGCCCGTGCGTTGCGAGAGTGGTCAGGTGCATTCGACGTATGCGTAACGTCACTGAGAAAGGATCGCCGGTCGGTAAAGCTTGTTGAAGAAGGCGTCGTACACATGGCTGAGGGTTGTCACGCCAGAAGGGGTGTTTTCGACATGTCGTTGGGACTTGTAGACTGAGGAGGGCGTGTCCACTTGGGCAGCCAGCGGGAGCCAGTGTCTTAGTACGCGGAAGGCACGCCCCGGACGCCCTCGGTTCGGTCCGGTGTTTAAGTTCCAGACAGCCTGTGTTTGGCGCACCCTTTACGCATCTAACCATGAGAGAAAATTGCTTCTCTGCACCGTCGTGCAGGGTCGCGAAGCTCACTCTGGGTTCATGGTCATCTGCATGCACATGTGCAGCTGCAAGGCCTGATCGCCGCTACTTACCGCACGCCCATCATTCCCACTTCGGCTGCAAGCCTGCGTATCGTCTGCGACTCGGGAAAATCTACGAGCCCAAGGGTTCGGTATCTTTGCATGAGCTTCTTATTCGCCGTTCATCTCCGAACTTCGCATTGTTGCGACGCTCAGCAGGAAAACTTCCGAGCGGAAAGAGCATCACTGCAGTCCTTCCCAACTGCCGCAGAAAGCGCGCCTCGATGTGGTGCATGTGAGATCCAAGCCTTCCAGGTTCTCTCAGACGTGTATGGTGTAGAATTCTGCCTGCGACCACCTGCAGTGTGCTCTTGCCTCGGTAGTGTGTGTCGCTAGTCATGACCAGGACATATCGCCAGCGCGGCGCTTCGTGCGGCTGTTGTCTAATTCGGCGTTCGAAATCTGCTACGAGCATGTATCGGGTTCGCGTACATTGGTGTTCCAAATCTCGTCGGTTTTGCGGTTTTGCGAAGCGTTCGCAGAGGCGCGTGGGGAATAGTAGCACAGTTCAGTGGTACAGATCAAAAGCGGTACACACTGCGTAGCTGTGCCACAATGGTGCTGCTGCTTGCACACACATTAGCGCTAATTGTTGGATCCAATAGTCGGGTTGGTGGAAGTGCGAGCAGAAGCCACTCGTTCGCGCTGCCAAGCTGAGTAGAACGCGGCAGTTCGTGCTAGAGAGTACTCGAGCACAACGGTAGCATCGATTCGTTCCATTCGATTCTGCACAAGTCGAATCCATCATGCCCGTATTTATTGCACTGACTCGACCAGATTCTGTGGTTGACAAACCCCCCCAAGCAAAGGCGTTGTCCTCATCGTATCGCGACAGGGAGGATAGTGGAAGCTGATCTGTCGATGCTAGCTGTTTGAGAGGCGGTTCGATACACAAAATGCCTTCTCTCGTGCGGGGCGTTAAACCAAGGGGAGTTTCGTGCCGCAATCGAAGTCGTCGAGGGGGGTATCCGCCTAATCGGGGTGTCCGTCGTCAGTAGGAAACTCGATTCGATCGTAGAGGCGTGAGAACACTGGGTAAAGACCTAAGTCTTGTCTTAAGACAAGTCTCCGCGTCATGTTAGTTCCTTTGCGCCAATGTGTTGCTTGGTTGTGGCCGCCGCAGCGGAGTTTGTACGTACAGGCTTCGCGCGTCTGCAACGGCGTGAAGGAAGGGTTCGAAGGCGGGAAGGGGGTGGGATATGCGTCATCACACGATGCGTTGGGAAAGCGTGTATGCAGCAGTCCGATCCTTAAGGAGTGGGCGAAGACGAGCTATGTGTTGTGTTCGAGGAGTTATGCCGGCTGTCTGAGAAGGATCGAAGACTCGAGAAGACGTTGTAAAAGAATTGTCATTTGAAGAGTATACAACAAATAGCTCAGCCAGTTGGTGTCATTGTTCGATGCAATTCAATGAGACTGATGAAGACGAGATCCAGTGGCCTTCCGGCAGATTGTTGCATCGGCGGAACACGGCACTTCCGGGATCTGCACCACTGCTCTCGCAGGGAGTGAACGTATTTGGCAGGTCACTCGTTGCAACCATCACCTACTGCAGCACTTCAAATACTTAAACCTTTAGCTGATGACTCCGGAAGCAGCATCTCACGCTGCTCGCAATATCGCTGATGATGGAAACATGGAAAAATGTCTCACTATCTATTAGCATGAGTTCTGCGGTAATACTACACACAAACGCGGACCGGCGAACCTCCCGAACCAGAGGATGCTGGAAGAGTCCCTAGACCTGTACCGTTGCAGTATCAGCCTCTATCTTAATAGCATGTATATCATGGGCGAAAGACCCAGGCGGCTTCCGACTCACCACGTAATCTTAGACATCAAAGAATGAGTGCGGCTTTCTTGCTCTCCTACAAGTTGGCGTGGGGTCCGCAAGTGAGAAGTTTGGCGCTTCCATCAAAACGGTGCATAGCCAACGATTTGTCAATATGCTGACCAGCCTGTTCAAACATCAGCACCAACTGGCGTTCTCTTCGCCACGGTCCGCGGAGGCCTTGCACACCCTGGCGATAAAACACTGTGAGAGGCGACTGGCGCATGTCCCCTAACCACACACTTCCTGCCTCGAGTGTAGCCAAGAGATCTACACTCTACGCACCTGCCCTAGCCGTGCTCGCGGACTGTTTCCACTACAGGAAGAATTCCTACACCGTATGGAACGCCTTCACCATGCGCTGATGAAGTTTTGAATGTTTAGGCGCATGTCAGTCCCTCCTCGTAGCGAAACTCGGCGAATGTGATTCAGAAGCGTGGCGATCTCCCCGATCCCTGGCTCCTGTGAACCCACATCTAAGGTGTCACAAGTATCGCGCGTATATGAGATGCATATGCGACGTGGCTTGTTGGATGAACTGATCCTTCAGCTGCGGAATCCTCTGGATGCAAGCGTCAGGCGTGGCCCGCAGGTTCGGCGGGCATCATGCATCGGATCGAGACCTCAACATGGAGCGTTGGGCCGCACGTGTTCACGCTGTTATGGCCTCATGGGTTTTGGGATGCTAATGAGGCTACAACGCTGGCAGACCTTCTCCCTTGGGCCGCTTCCCAGGCCATACCACGAAGATGCGGCCACGTATAATGCATCGGATAGTCTTAGATCGTATCTGCACAGCATCTCTGCCGCTCGCCGGAATCTAAGTAGCCTGGGCATTAGGCTGTCAAATGCACTTACGTTCTGATGCGTGCATTCGAGTCGAGAGGGGTGGGGCTGCACTGGCAGCTAGTCGGGATGAACGAACTCGCCTGCGGGGAGCAGGTGCCGGGCGCCTACACATCGTCTTGGGTAGTACTGATCAATTGCATTCCCTACCTTATCTGATCTGCGGTCAGGTGTTCGCGGTGTAGCAGTGGAGACGTGACTCTCCACTACCTAGGTAAGGGTTGGCAAGACGAGATCCAGAAGTTTCAGCCGACACCACCCCGCTTGCCGTCGATGCCGTCGGTATGTCTTGAGTGCATGGGTCGATGGGGAAAGGACAACGCGAAAAAACTCGTACTGTCTAGGAAGCTTCACGATGAAGCGACGTCAGTTCAACAAGCGCGCTAGGGTTTAGTGTACCACCAACGAGCAGTG